TGCCAACCCCAGCTCTAGAAAACGGGGATTGAAGCGGTTCCCGGAAAACCCCGAAGCTTTTTGGGGTCCCAAAGCCAGGGCCAAGGCTGGGTAAGGGCAGGTGGGGATTCTCAGGTGTCTGATTGTGGGGTTGGGCAGCAGCGTGTCCCCCCCTCCCCTTCCCCAACTCAAACCTTCTCAAAAAGCCCCCGGTGTTTTGCCAGGACAGAGGATAAGGACCCCAAAATAAGCAGGGGGAGGGAAGGAGCCCTTGTTTTTTCCTTTGGAGGGGGGGAATCTCTCTGCCCCCCCTCACCCCACACATTTCCACCCTCCTCACCCCACATTTCCCCCCCCAACCCCCAGGGGTGGAATCTCTCCCTCCCTCCAGGAGAAGCGGAAGCGACACCAGAACAAACGGACGGAGCGGACGGACGACGGCACCAGCCTGAAACAATTCCCCTGCAAACGCTTCAAGGAGGTGGGTCGGGGTCAGGAATAATGAGGGGAGGGGAGTGGGGGGCTCAGGACAGAGCAGAGCCCCCTCCTCACCACCCACCCCCCCCTCTTCTCCCACAGGGAAACTGCTCCTTGGGTGCTCAGTGCTGTTACTCACACGAGGGGGGAGCCCCGGCTGCCCCCAACCCTGATGCCACCTCTCCCCCCTCCAATTAAAATGTGCCTGAGAAGAGTCTGGTGGGTTTTAATGCACTTGTGGGGAGATGAAGTGGGGAGGGGGGGCGGGGATGGACAAAACCCCCCCCTCAAAGTCGAGCTGGGAGTGCTCAGGCCCCCCCAACGCCGGCTCCAGGCTCCTGGTACTGCACCGTGGCCAGGAAGGTCCTGATCTCCATGGGCTGCAGCGTCACCCGGCTCGGGTCCAGTTTGGGGACTGGTCGGGACTGGGATGGACCTGGGAGAAGAGGGGAAGGGGGTGAAGGGAGGCTGGGAGACCCCCCCAGAACAATCCCCCTACATCCCAGGACCTCTTCCCCCTTAAAAAGTACCTGTGGCCGGGGTCCAGACCAGGCGGGAGACGGCATCGAGGGGCAGGTCGCCCCCCAAGCTCATCTCCTGGAGGGAGGTGATGGTGAAGGCCGAGAAGAGGGTCTGGGAAAGGGGGGAAAAAACCCATCAGCGACACCCCCGGGAGCAGGGACCCCCCGAGCTTGGATGGGGGGAGCCCAGCCCCCTCCCTGTGACCATGGGGGTCTCACCAGGAGGTCGATGGTGACGGGCTGGGAGCTGTTGGCACTCTCGCCCCTCTCGAACTGATGCTCCAGCCGCAGCAGGAGGGTCCCCTCGCCCCACGGCGCCAGCGTCAGGAGGTGGATGTTGGGGGGCAGCTCTTGCCTCAGCCCCGAAAACTGCGGGGAGAAGGTTTAGGGGGGAGTCACCGGGGACAAAACCCTCCCTCCTCCTGCCCCAAGTAGCCCCCCTCCCCATCTTACCTGCTGCAGGCTGGGGTGGCCGCGGCCGTAGGAGGAGCCCCCCGCGGGCGCCAGCACCACGGAGGGGGCCATGAAGAGCTCCTGGGCCAGCAGCCGGTGCCGCTCGGCCGCCGACTCCACCGTGTCCAGCAGGACCAAGTGGCGGCCACGGACCACCAGCCCCTGCTTGTTGGCTCCCAGTTCCACCAGCGGCTCCCCCACGCCCCGGTTGTCGTCGTACAGGAGCCGTCGATGGACCTGGAAGGGAGGGAGGTTACATCCCGGGGGGTGTGTGTGTGTGTGTGTGTCCCACCCCCAGAAATACACACCCCCCCAGCTCCTCGGGGACCCCCCAATGCCAAGACCCCTCACCATGAGCTCCAGGGAACCGTCGAAGATGCTGCTGCCGCCCTGCGAGCGGTCGGTCAGCACCGTCAGCTGGAACTTCTTGTCCTGAAGGAAGGGCCACACGTGTGATGAGCTCTGACCCGGCCTCAGCCCCCTGTTTGCCTGTTCCCCCACCCCCCACCCCAACCCCAAAACCCAGTACCTTGATGAAGATACGGCTGTTAACGGGGTAGTAATTCCCCGCCACCGGCTCCGTCTGGCTCAGGTTCCACGTGGGACGGTAGTCGCGCCTGGGGAGGAGGCAGAGCCCAGTTACAGGGAGGGGGACGGGGGTCCCGGGGGGCTGTGGGGAGCACGTGGGGGGACCCCAACCTGCGCTCCAGGACCTGCCGCCCGTTGGAGTCGGTGTAGAAGCGACCATCTGTCTGCAGCGTCGTCTCGAAGCGGCTGATGATCTCCTTGCCCCATCCATCCCTGGATGGGAGAGGCAGGGGGTGAACTGGGGGGTGCTCTGAGGGGGAGCCCCCCCACTCTGTTTTTCCAGGAGCTCCCCGTCCCCCCGACTCACTCCACGGGGATGGGCCCCACGGTCCACTCCAGCTCCACGTAGGGCTGCCCCACGCGGAGCCGCACCACCTGGGAGCACCACGAGGAGAAGTTCTGGTGGACCTCCTGCACCAGCGCGTTCTGCCGGGGACACAGAAGGGGCTCAGCACCCCGGGGACACCCCCAGACCCTGGGGACACCCCCGGGGGGGGACAGCATCCCCACCACCCACCTTCACCAGGTACGTGGGGACCCGCTTGGAGCCGGAGACTGGGATGGGCTGGGAGCTGTTGGGACGGAAGATGTAGGCGCCCGAGGCCTGGGTGCTCTCATCGTTGCCGACGCTGGCGTTGTACCTGGAGAGGAGGAGGAAGAGGAGGAGAAGGATGAGGAGGAGAAGGTGGAGGAAGGTCCCAAACGATGGACATGGGTGTCCGAGCCCCACCAGCCCTCACCAGTAGAAGCTCTGGAAGACGGGGAGCGAGATGCTCTTGTCCAGGTTCTGGATCTCCTTCAGGTGCCCGGTGAGGGGGTCGAAGAGCACCCGGATGTGCTGTGGGTTGAGTGTCAGCCCCATCACCCCCAGCTCTTCCCATCACCCCAGCACTGGTTTAACTGGGCCAGCGGGGTGCTCTTTTTACCCCCCCCACCCAGCCAGGGACCAGCTCCAGCCCCCAGGACCCCGTGGAGAAAGACCCCAAACGGCATCCGAGAGGGAAATGCGTCCCCCACAGCGGGACCGTACCTCGTTCCTGATCTCCTGAGGTTCTGATGACTCCAGGGGCTGGGTGGGGGGCACGGGGGGGTCCCCACGGCTCAGCCGGGAGACCGTGAAGGTGCTGAAGCCCAGGGGGGGCGCAGAAGCCTGGAAGAGGAGCTCCCCGGTGGCGCTGCCACCGTCCCCCCGCAGCTGGCGGGTGAACTTGGAGAGAGGGACAACCTGGGGACAGATTGGGGGGGTCAGGAGGGGCTGTGGGCTGGGGGGGGACACACCAAGGCAGGGGGGGCATCCTGGGCTCACCTCGCTGAGTACGGGCTGGCCCTGGGGGTCCGTCACAGCGTAGGACGTCCCGTTGACCGGCAACCGGATGGGCCAGGAGACAGGACGCCCCAAGGGGTTGTAGAGGATGAGGATGAACTGGGCGGGGGGACACACACACAGAGGGGACACATTAGCCCCACTGGGACCCCGCAGCTCCCCCCCACCTCCAGATCCCCCCCAAAACGA